AGAGAGAGAGAGAGAGAGAGAGAGAGAGAGAGAGAGAGAGAGAGAGAGAGAGAGAGAGAGAGAGAGAGAGAGAGAGAGAGTTTTTCCGAGCTTTGGTTCGTAGCCTTCTGATGGGTAGCGGAATGCAGATGGTCAGCATATATTTTTGACTACTATTGATGTTACATGTGATGATGTGACTCATGTGAGTACTGTTGTTTGCTGAACTTTGCTCTTTGGTCTCACCATTATTTCGTATATGTTGTTTTGTGATGGCTTTACAAATTTCATTTCATTTCTCGCATCCGGTTTTGTTTCCTTACCGTATTCATTGCATCCAGTAGACAAAACCGTTTCTTTTATATGAATGCAATAACACATAAAATTTAAAATTACAGGAATTTACAGCCCAATTTGAGATCGATTAGCGCTGCATGATGTCTGAAATTCTGAATCACTTTGCATGTTCAAACTGTGTGATACATGTTCCCATCACCAAACACAACCCCCCCCCAAAAAAATTTAGGGCCACATGCACACCATCACCAAACAGTCCCAAAAACACAACCCCCCCGGCAGCCCCAGCCCGGGACCCCGCCCCTGCTGCCACCCCCGGCGCGACCCCACCCCTGCACACCCCCGGCCAACCCCACTACCCCTCCGACTCCGCACCCCGCGCCCGGGAATCCCCGCAACCACCACCGTGCGGGGCATTCGGGACCCCGCCCCGAGGAACACCGTGTTCCCGCTGGGGGGTGGAGGGGTTCCCTGGGGGGGGGTCCTGGATTGGGGCATTTTCTGCACCAGACAGAAAATGGCAGGGGCTGCGCGGCACCGGTGCGCACACCCCCCTATTTTTATTTATTTATTTTGATTTTTTATTATTATTATTTTTTTTTGGGGGGGGGGGGTTGCTCCGGACCCGGGGCCAGGGCTACCTAACCCCGGACCCCCGGAACCCCGCCAGGCCCCGGGGCCAGGGTTTGACAACACTCGTATCTGGCCTGAAAAATTGGCGAAGATGCATAATGACCAAACATTATGTTCTGGAGAAGAGGATAGGAGAATGCTTATGGCACGCTTCTTCAGCTGTGAGTGTGGAGCACAAAAGATGACCTTAGGGATAGAGTAGAAGGGATGATTTTCTGCAAGGGGTTGACTTGGGTAACCTGCTGGCACTGAGCAGCTTTCAGTACTGACCTGTGCATCCTTACAAGACATTTTATGTATCTGCAACAAACTTGGTGACACATGGGCATGGAGTGCACAATCATTTCGTTTGGCTGGCGTTATTGTTCTGGTTGTGTGGCATACTGAGTCCCACATGGGCCCCTGCAGGTCCCGACCAGGTAGGATAGGGGTTCGGTAGGGCCCTTGCGGGCCCTGTGTCGGTTCAGAGTAGGAAGGGGCCCTTTTCAGGCCCCATGTCGTTTGGCCTCGGTAGGCCCAGTAGGTAGGCCCTTGCGCCTGTTTTCGCGCCAGACCCCAGTAGAGGCCCCGTAGGCGCCCAGGCCGTGGTAGGCCTTTTCGGTAGAAGCCAGTGGGCGTCCAGGCCGCAATAGGCCCTTTTCAAATTCGACCTTTTCGAATTTGGGCACCAACTTTAGGCGCCAGACTGTTTGGGCGCCAGGCCCTGGCGCCGTTCGGCATTGGTGAGCGCAGCCTCCCAGCCGGACCAGCACTATATATAGCTGGTCCGCCTAGGAGGCTGGCATTCGGTCTTCAGGCATTCAGCAGCAGCACTCTCGGGAAATGCGGTATCGGTAGTAGTCTTCCAGCGCTGGGCGCTGCTAGGACCTTAGGCTAGCGCTAGGAGGGAGGAGGGTGGCGGAGGCCAAGGGACTTACCTGGGATCTTCCCAGTGACGCCATCGCTCCAGCTTCGTTTTCAGTGAACCTGCAGCAAGGCACCACCTTTCACAGGTTAGTACATGGCACAGAGAGAAAGAGAGAGAGAGACTTCTTCTTCTTGTTCTTCCTCCAGTCCACCATCTCTCCCTTACCCTCTAGGTTCCTGACGTCTCAGTATCGACAGACTATGAGAGAGAGAGAGAGAGAGAGAGAGAGAGAGAGAGAGAGAGAGAGAGAGAGAGAGAGAGATTTGTGACTTTGGGGATTTGACGACATTTGGATTCAGACTCGACATTGGGACAGAGACATTGGGTGGGGGACTATTGGGATCGATATCGACGTCATTGTGTTGAAGACATTCTCATCTCCTCCCTCCTCTTCGTCTGATCCCCCTCCTCTCCATCTGTGTATGATCTGTGCCTGGCGCATTCTTCCTGTGTGTGGCGCCAGGCCCCTTGACACCTGGTGACGATGATGATGTATGTTCGGTCTGCATTGCAACATTGATTGGTCTGATTATTGGTATTTCAGTCTTCCGCTGTGCAATCATGTTCTATGTGAGAGGGGTCGGTTCTTGGTTCTGGTCTGCAGCATATCGGTATGCGACAGGTTGTGAGTGATTGTCTTTGACTGTTTGCTGGCATTCTGAATGGAGTGCATGGATATTGTTTTTTAAACTTTTTTGTTTTTTTATGGGGCCAGGCCCTAACCTTATTCTCTCCTTCAGGATTTGAACTCATGATCTGTTCATCATGGTTCCATTCTGTACTCCATAACTTGTAGATTACTGGGAGTGAGCCTGACGACTGTCGGAATTTCCAATTACTGGACATTGCAGTCTACATGAGCATCTTAGGGCATTTGCACTTGCAAACACAAAATGACCAATGTCACCAGGTTTTACATAGCACAGTGAAGGCCTCCGCTGACATCTGCGGTGAAACAACACTCCCGTCGTTGCCCTACTAAATGGGAGTGTATGCACAAAAGGACTTTCATGCAGATACCTGACCTCGATTAGGCCCAAGTAGTACTGTCGAAAACGTGCTAGTGTGAATATGCCCTGAGTTACACCTTTTGTGCCCCTTTCTACTAATGCTACCGCTGTTCTGATAACTCTCTCTGCCAGGTTTTTGCAGCTGCCAGTACGGAACTTAATGGCCTCGCGGTAATGTCAGCACAAGTTACCATTTCCACAAAAATCTTTCACTGCATCCCTTGCCAGGCCACAGCCTTACCTCAGTAGAAAAGCGCTGGCAGTGTATTGCAAATCACTGTTGAACAGACGTTTTCTGTCTGTCTTAAAACTTTCCACGCAAGAGGGATTATGACCCCCAAAAATATGCTGCGTAACCTGTTTACTGCTGCAGATTGCATCGGTGGTGCAGGGAGAGCTTGTTCTCTGGCTAACAAATGACTGTGCTCTATGTTGAATGCAGGAATATAGAGCTCTTTCTGAGCAGACGTGTGAGGGAAACCAGCCGACAAAGAATGGTAGAGTGATCAACGCGCCCAAGTTCTATGATGTATGGCTGCATGAAAATACCAGCAATCCTGTTATAGATAGTTTCTTATCGTGTGAGCCATCAATCTTGCAGTACAGCCAGCAAGTCGAGGCATCACCAGCAGAGGCATCAGAGCAAGTTGACCGGAACACTGCTCATCGGGATCCACCCTCACATGCCATTGCAAAGCCAGTGGATGGCTTTGACAATGGACCTGATCGGAAAGGAGCCGACGAGCTGCCAATGGACACAATAGTGGCACAACTACAGACATCGACGTGCGAAGAGATACCATGCAATTTCCATTCCGTGATTTGCCCAGCTATGGAAGGGATGGTTCACGAGGATGATGGAAGACAGCCAGGGGGTTCCTTGAAAGTTGGAGGTATTGCTGAGAGAGGAAGTGGTTCTTCTTCTTCGCAGGCAACGGCTTGCATGTCTGAGAACACATATGTTCGGCGACGGAAGCAGTCAGCCAAGAGGAAGAGGAGACGGGCAGTTAAGGAATATGTCCAGAAGACAAAGGGCATTGCACGGCAGGTTGTTGCAATTGCCAGGAGCTGTCATGCAGAGCTCATTGAGCAGCAAAGGGCATCAGCAGAAAGGATCGAACACATATACAGGGAGGTGCTAGAACAGCAAGATCGTCTATACAGGGAGCGAGTTGAGCGGCAAGAACGCCTGTGCAATGAGCACTTAGTCCAGCGGCGGGAAGAAATGACAGCAAGAGCGAGGGCAATGGATCAGCAGCTGGCGCTCAACGAACGGTTCCTGACGCTAAGCGAGAGATTCTTAGAGATGTTTTCCACCATCAACTCCTCATCAAGCGGCGCTTCTGCTTCCATTGCAAGCTGTCAGAGCACAGGCATTTTCACCCTGACGACCCCAGCGGAAGGTGGCTGATGAAATCCTCCTGTCCCGTCTTTCTCCTGTCTAAACTGGACCAGAAGCTGGCACTACAGGCAAGGTTACTGACACTAAGTGAGAGATGAAATGAATAGGGGCAACCCCAACCATCAATCCTCCTGAAGCAGTGCTTCCGCTTCCACTCTGAGTGGTCAGAGAACATGCAATTTCACACCCTCATAACCCCAGCAGAATGCGGGCAATTCAGTACTGTTGTTTCGGCTGGATCCTATCTAAACTTCTCATTGCCCCGCTTCTGCATTCAATGTGGCAGCATGGGGCTGCCGTATGAGGAGGGTATCTGCAGGGAGGAAGAGAAGTTGCTGATTGAGGACGCGCAGTTGTATCTTGCCAGCAGCTCTCAGCCTGGGTAAGGTGTGATCAGTATTTGCCGCCACTGAGGCTATTCATTAGATGCTGGATCAGAGCTTTGGTAGATAGACCACTACTCGCACGGAGCAAATGAGTACATGGTTTTGGGCGTTATTTCCAGATGCAATCTGGAGTGCACGCATATTTACCCGCTCAGGATTTGTTGTATTTTGTCCCCTTTTGCTTCATGGCTGCAGTGAATTGTGCCTCCTGTATACCGAAGTTCGAGGAGAGGTCCATACTTCCACTGCCTTTGGGGCTCTCGGACGTATCAGAGATGTCATTCAACGTCAAGGAACCAGCCGTCACGTGCGGTGCAATCTTCAAGCTAAACTATCATGAACCTGATCAGGTTCACAACCAAGCCATGCACTCCAAGCATGAACACACAACCACAGGGAATATGTCAATATGTAGTTGTCCTTTGGGACATCCGTTAAAATTGAAACTATACAGAGAAGATTAGCATGGGCCCTCCCCGCAAGGATGACACACGTCAATCGAGAAATGGTCCAAATTAAAAAAAATAATAATAATAAAAAAAAAAATCAATATGTAGTAGGGAGAACTCAGGACTATGCTAGGACCACTTGGCCCAGTCACAAACCAGTCTTCTTCTTAGAGTTTTACAGACAGCCAGGCACCAGCAGTACTAACAGCCATGCCCCATCCGCACTATGTCCATATTATGGAAGCACATGCCAGGATGTTGAGTTTGCCAGGTTATTACCAGTTTAGCACAAGCATATCAAACTGTGGCCTCCCTTCACTTTGTCATTAACACCCGCTCAGCACCAGTTCACTGTGTCTCATACTGATAGACAGACAATTCTGCTGAAAACAACTTCGGAATCTATTCTGCATGTTTAACACCAATTTAGCCCAAGCATGGCACACTGTGGCCTCCCTTTCCTTTGTCATTGACACTGCTCAGCACCTGTTCACTGTGTCTCTGGCAGATAGACGGACAATTCTGCTGTGGACAACTTGGGCATCCTTTCTGCATTCCTCATTGCCTAGGCCTCCATTGCCTGTTCTGACATCATTAACGCCTGCAGCACGGGTGCCGCCTTCTACGCCCATCGTTCCACTGTTTTTCCTTTGCATGTCACACTTTAGTGAGGAAGATGGGTTCTTATTACTTCTTAATACTTCTTATCACTTCTTAAACCACCGGCAGCACCCAGGATAAGCTACCGAACCCTGCTTCCCCTTTGCAAGGAGGTCTTTCGCACGAGACCCTGCAACCTGAGGAGATCAAGTCTTTTTCTTTTTTTTTAAATCTCCCCACCTTATTAGAAGATATCCCCTTCTTTTTTCATTCTTCTTTCTTTTTCTACAGAAGGAAAAATTATGCACCATTCCTTTCTTTGAGATCTGCACAACAGGTTTGTCGAAAGTCAGTCAGAGACCAAATGTTGCAATAAACGTTCCAAATGCGAAGGGGAGAGGAGAGGCAAACAACATATTCCCGAAGAGCGTCTAAAATTCCCTAAATAGTAAATACCCCTGTCCTTCTCCCCACCTACCATCCTTTATCAAGCAAGGCTTCCCGCCAATTCTATGACGAGTGTACGGTGTAGTAATTTGTAATTTAAAGTCTCACCAAACACTGGAGAAAAGCAAACTGCACTTGTAGTGGACCCCAACTTCGCCGTTTCTAGCCTCTCAAGGCTTATCCAAACTAGGTGAATGCCAGCTGCACCTTGCTTTATGTACCCCAGTATGCACACAGAAAGCCGGTATTGAGGGTTCAATGGTCTCCACACTTGATGCCGGTTCATGGGTTGATTGTCAATTTGTCACCAGTGGGGATATTCGCCCTGCAACTTTCAGCCCCAGAGAGTTTACCACACCAGGTGTGGGACTTTCAGCCTTTTACAAATTGCTCCCTCATTATTCTCAGATGATATAGACATCCATCCCCTATCAGATAGGTTTCCGCATTGCTTTCTGTCCTTCACGTGCAGACAGAAATGTGGTGTTGACTATTCTATAATCTCCACACTTCGTCCTTCGGTACATCCGTTAAAATTGGAACGATACAAAGAAGATTAGCATAGGCCCTGCGCAAGGATTACATGCATAAATCGAGAAATAGAATAGTCCAAATTTTGAAAAAAAAAAAATCTCCACGCTTCATGGCTTGTTATGTCTCCAGTCCGGTCATTTCTGGAACATCCGCCCCAGCCCTATACAGTCGACAACACTTTTCTCAAAATTAAATTTTCAGCCTCTTACAATCCACTCATTGTTATCCTCGGATGACATTACGACTTTTCCCCTGAGAGTCAAAGGTAGTTGATCCAGCAAGACGGACTTTTTTTTTTTTTTTTTTTTTTTTKTCCTGGTTCACCATTGGCTTGCTTTCCTCCCTCAGCAAACCCCAGCCCTCTCTACAAGGCCTACTCTATTTATGATGATCAAGAGTTATTGCTACAGTTGGCACCACCAATAGGTGATAGGATAAACAATCCCACGGCACTTGATGGGGCGACTGGCCACAGAGGTTCCCACGCCCAGAACTCTTCTCCCCTCCTGCACAATCATTCCAGTGCGTTTCGAATCCCGCAGAAAGGGTTGGCAAATAGCCACAGCTACGGATTTCAGTTAGTCAAAGCTGGAAAGGGGTCACAGAGCCTCACTAAGCAATCTCTCAAGTGAGAGTTCAGAGGTAACAGGGCTTGCAGGGGAGGAATGCAGTGTGAAGTCATGGAAAGCCAGGAAAAAGTGAAAGGAGGCGGATGGTCTTGATGTCAGAGCAGGGATTGCCTGATATGCTGCTGATGTGAAAATCAGGAACCAGGTGCGATGGAGACCATGGTGAGAGGTCGCCGACCTCCCTCTCACAGCTCAGGGATCAGGCACCACAGCAGAGTCGACAGCGGAAGGCATGGCAACAGGACTTGCGGCTGAACTTCTCTAACTCAGCAGAGTCAGCACAGATAACTTGGGCCGCAAGTTGATCCCTGAGCTGCCATAGGAGCTTTGATTCTCTTCCATTGGAATTTTTTTTTAACTCTGTGTTACTCCGGAGTCATAGAGATAGAACGGATAAAAATAGACCTTGTTCTCTTGCGTGCGTTTCTCTTGCTAGCTTGCATTCCAATCTCCTACTAGTATGCAGTGTGTGGGTTAAAACATTTTTTTGTTTATTATGTCTATTGGTTGCGTTCTTTGTGAGGCTGTGTTGGGGGCATACTTGTTGATCAGCGCGGCTAGGTCTCGGTATGCCCCCAACACAGCCTCACAAAGAACGCAACTAATAGACATGATAAACAAAAAAATCGAAAAAATGTTAAACCCACAGACACTGCATACTAGTAGGAGATTGGAATGCGAGCTAGCAAGAGAAATGCATGCAAGAGAGAGTATAGATGAAGCAGAGGCTCCCCATGTAAGCTAGCTAGCAAAAAGAACTTGGAAGACCCATGGCAATCACAGGATCCATCTAGAAGAGACTTCACTTGTACTTAGAAAAATAGACAAGGAGGAACCTCCTGTGCCAGAATAGACCGCTCTCTAACTTCGAATTCCTCAGAGGCACAATTGTGAGAACAGACATTCTCAAACCCCCCATCCTACGGAGGCTTTGACCATACGAGAGGAGGTAACTTATTACTTAGGCAAGAGGAGATCAGGACTGCAGTAGTACAGACCTGGAAAAAGCTATAGACCTTGCTGAAGGAGCTAACCATCTTAGGAGATTTTCCTAAGGCAGTGGCTCAGATCAGCAAAGAAGTCAGCAAGGCATCGAGGATCATGGTCGTAAAAAAAGAAAGGGAAAGGCTACTTGGCGCTCTGGTGGAGACCGCAGAATATAACCTCCAGAATCATTCTTCCTCCCCTTTACACAAGTCTTCTTTAAAGTTCTTTTTTTTCTTCTTCTTCTTTTTTTTGTTTGAAACAGAACCTTAAGGTTCTGGCTCGCTTTCCATTCTGGGGAGCGTCGGTCCGGTTCTTGTTCCCCCGGCAAGTCAAGAATAGTACCATGGTTGCCCACTCCCGCTCCCCCCCCTTATAGCGTGGAGGCCCTGAAGACGGCATTGATTACTTCCGTGAAAAAGGGTGTACCGATCTTCACCCCTGCTTAAACCACCAGTACCCCGCCCAGCCAAACTTTTTGCTCTTCCTGACTTCATGGAAGGCCTGGGCTGGGTCGGTAGAGGCTGGGTAGAGCCTCGACAGAGCTACGGAGGTCGTTCGTTTTGAAAACGAGAAGCAACGACCAGTGACCACAATATCATGATTTCTCACAATGAAAAAAAAAAAGCCGGAAAAAAAAAAAAAAAAAACACAGAACGTTTGTCCTTTGTTCGTGTGGTGAGGAGTGAGGGTACTGCCGGTGTTGGCTCGTAAAGAAAAGAAAACATCTGAGACAAGGAGGGGGGCCCGGGAGGAAACTGCCCCGAAAACGGGGCGTACTGCCCCTGAAAATGGCGCGTTTGACGGGCTGTAAGTCCTAAAAGGAGGAGGTCGGGAAGCTGCACTGCCTCCAGTTGTTCAAAGTGGGAATGCATCTTGTGCCGTAACTTCGAACAATACAGAGGCCCAGGGCAAGGATGACACATAAATCGAGATACGGTCAAAAAAAGAAAAAAAAACGAGGGTACAACACACAGTTTGCCTTTTCTGGAGGTAGTGGGCAGCTACACTGTCCACATGAGAATGAACTTGGTGCATAACTCGGAACGATACAGAGAAGATTAGCATGAGATATGGTCCCACAAAAAAGACAAAAAAAAAAAAACCTGCCCCGAAAATGTCACGTAAGTCCCCTGAAAATGGCACATTTGACGGGCCGCAAGTACCTACGAGATTTGCCTGGGGGCTGGCTCCGTTGCTCACCACATGCAGAAGAGAGAAAAAATCATGGCTGTGTATATTTCCACTGTTCTAGCCAAAGATTCATTCCTCTTTTGCACATTTGGCAAGTAGTGGAGGGAAGCCCTCAGACCTGCCACCAATGTCGTTGGCAGCTCTTTCCTCGGTCGCGACTGCCCAACACGGTTTTTTTTTTTTCTTTGGCAAGTAGTGGAGCGAAGCCCTCAGGGGAATGGTCCCATTAGCAGTGGGATAGGAGTGTGGCCTATCCAGTGTGACACTGAGTGGCAGCGGCCAGACACGTTCATTACAAATTTCTGGGCTGAGAAAACAGGAAAAAGGCCAAAAAAAAAGAAAGAAACAGAGACCTGCCACCGGAAATCACGGCAGAGTGCTTCCCAGCCATCAGATCACAAATGATCTGATGGTGGTGGTTGCAAAAACAGTGAACAAAGTTACAGCCACATTTTTTTGGAATAAAATTGACTTCTGTCAGAAGTGATCCTGACACCCTCCATATACTCTGTGATTGAAGGAGGGCTCCACCCAATGAGATAATTGCACAACAGCAAGTAAAATGCTGAAAATCTTCTATCCAGTGGGCAAAGGCCGACCCCAACCTCGTTTGGCGTTGGCCACACCCCCAACCTATTGAAAAGATTCTGGCGGGAAGCTGTCTTTGCACGGGCATGCCCAGTGTTAAGGAGAGGGGGGAGGGGAACGAAGATCTCCTTACTTTTTCGGGTAATACATGTAAAATACTGACCGTGGGATCACCAGTACTGCACGGCAGGATTTGGGTTACTCAACTGCCACACAAACTCGTTTCTATCCTATCCCGTTGCTAGTGGGACCATGCCCCAGGGGTGAAGTCCCACTGCCCAAGTTAAGTTTAGAAAACGCAACAGTGTGACACCATTTCGACATTAATAAAATTCAAAACCAGAAATTAAAAAACTGAGGAGAAACGCTAGAAACAGCTTTTCTCCTTATTTTTGATAACGTAACTCAGGGAAATGAAACACGTCTGGCACAGTCGGAGTGAACGTCTCCGTGGAAAAGGGATACTCCCCGTGGTGAGCAGACAGAAGGTCACCATTTGTAAAATGGACAGGGACAACATGGATGGCCAAATGCGTTCATTGCCCAAAGAAGAGGTGAGACTTAAAATCTAGTTTAGCACATGGACAGGGACAACATGGATGGCCAAATGCATTCATTGCCCAAAGAAGGAAACGAGTTTGATGCCAGAGAGCCAAACACAGCTGTCAGAGTTCCTCCGTTTCAGGATGTAATGATGTCTTAAAAAACAAAAAAAAAGAAAGGCACGTAAGTTGAGAAGTCTACCCTGGGGGGGGGTAGGGTAGTCTTCTCAACTTAAAATGGTTTCCCGCCGACCAAATCTAATAGGTTATTCTCCTGTATTTCTATACCACTAGATTCGCAATACATCAACGTCAGAGCTCCGTCCCACCATGCCACACGTGATAGAAAGCTCAGCGTTGAGAAAACTCAACTTGGGCGGTGGGACTTCACCCCAGGCCTGCCACCAATGTCGTTGGCAGCTCTTTCCTCGGTCGCGACTGCCCAACACGGATTTTTTTTTTTCTTTGGCAAG